TATTTAGCCATTATAACAATTTAAGCGACCGTGCTAGAACCACGGGATTCGAGGGTGCCTAACACCTTCCCTCGGGTCAACAGAATTCCTTACTTAGAATTTCTGGTTCGCAGACTTCATTTGGAAAAGTCGAAAATTTCCTCGATTTGGGATTCAAGATAAACCGGTGACTTGGGACACCAAAAGCCAAACCTTTCCCAAGTGGCGACTCTGAATTAAATAAATAATCCCATTTCGAATATTGTCACTTAAATTGGAAAAACTCCCTCGCGCATTCTACCCTTCGGGGCCGGGCGCGCAAAAAGGAGGTGTGACAGGGGGAATGAAGCTGGTCCATCAAGGGTGCAAATAGAAATGGAGAAACAACCTATGGTTGAGACAGAAGGCTGTAATCAAGTGGCAAATGACAAGCATGATGAACCAAATCAGAAGAGTCAGGATGATAGAGCAAATGTCAAAGGGAAGGCTATTCAACAAGTTCCAGATTCATTGATCAACTCTAGCAATAGATTTGAAATACTGCAGATGAATGACACATACATAATACAAGGGGACGTTGGCCCTCCCAGCTTCACCTAAAAATGAACCTCTGTACTTGGAATGTAAGGGGGCTGAATAAGTCCTACAAACAGAAGGAGTTGAGGCTCTTTCCGAGGAAGTATAAGGTGGATTTTATTGGGTGTTTGGAAACAAGAGTTAAAGAGAAGAAGGCTACTAGAATCTTGAAGCAAGTGGCTAGGGATTGGAGTGCTTTTTGCAACTATAATGCACATCCAAATGGTAGAACTTGGTTACTATGGAAGAGTAATGTAAATGCCCAGGTGTGTTAGTGGTTGAAGATCAGTTCATACATTGTGAAATTCAAGAGATAAGCTCCAATTCCAAGGCTATGGTAACTGTAGTTTATGCAAGCAATGACATTAATCAAAGGAATCAACTGTGGAGGAAACTCATTCAGATAGGGGCTAATATTCAAGACAGTTGGTTACTAAGTGGGGATTTCAATAATGTTCTTCACACTGATGACAGGATAGGAGCACCAATTACACAAGCAGAAACCCAAGGCTTTCAGGATATGATAAATACATTACAGCTTTCTCAGGTGAAGAGTTTGGGTTGGAACTATACTTGGTGCAACAAGCAACAACCTGATAAAAGAGTGTATAGTAGGATTGATCGGGCTTTGGGCAATTTTGAATGGCTACAACAGTATAACCATATTGAGGCAACATTTTTGAATCTGGAAGTATGTGATCACTCTCCCATATTGCTCCAACGTAGTCAAGGGAATCAGCAGAGGGGATTACACCCTAAGCCTTTTAAACTATATGGCTCAATTATGGAGCATGCTGATTTCAAGGGGATAGTTAAAAGAGTATGGGAGCAGGATGTAAAGGCTGAACCAATGAAGAGAATCTGGATGAAGTTAAAAATGTTGAAGAGGGATCTAAAAGACTTAAACACATACATGGCATCTTATAAGCACCAGCTCAATCAGGCCAGACACAAACTAGAAATAATCCAAAATGAACTCATGATTCATCATTTAGACCAGAACCTGATTGATCAAGAGAGGTTGGCACTGGCAAAAACAAAGAAATGGAGTAACATAGAAGAACATGTCCTACAGCAAAAGTCCAGAGCAAACTGGATAGCATGTGGAGACTCAAATTCAAAATATTTTCATGCACAATGGAAATTGAGGAAAAGCAAGAATTTCATTGCTTCCATATACAATGACAGTGCAGTTAAGCTAACAGATCCTATACAAGTGGAGGATGAGTTCATCTCTTAATTTACTAAGCTTATGGGTGAAGGTGGCAATACTCACAGGTACCCTAACTCAGAAGTCATACGTCAGGGGCCATGCCTTAATTTATAGCAGAAGGATGATTTGATTAAAGAAGTTACAAGGGAGGAGATCTTGAATGCTATAAAGAATATGCCCCATGATAAGGCTCCAGGGGTAGATGGGTTCCCTATTGAATTTTTTACTAAGCACTGGCAGGAGGTGGGGAATCACATTTGTGATGCCACAAAGCAAATTTTTGCAACTGGGAAAATGCATAGAGGAATCAGCAGTATTGCTGTGACCTTAATTTCTAAAGTGCAAAACCCAAGCCATGTCAAAGATTATAGACCCATAGCATGTTGCATAACTTTGTATAGATAATCACAAAGGTTATTACTGCTCGAATCAAGAAGGTCATTGGTGGCCCCATTAGGGAATCACAATCAGCATTCATTGACGGTCGTAGTATCACTGATAACATCCTTTTCACACATGAATTGTTCAAAGGCTACAATAGAAAAGGAATCTCCCCAAGGTGTGTACTAAAAGTGGACTTGAGGAAAGCTTATGATGCATTAGAATGGTGTTTCCTGGAGAGAATATTGCTAGAATTGGGTTTTCCTCACAAGTTTATAAGCTGGGTAATGGAATGTATTAC